GATGTCCATCGATAACTAGGCCACCAGAACTGATACAACGGTCAGTGGAACAGTAAATTTATATACACATTGTGACAGCCCGTAAATGCACTGCTTCATTTTGTTGTGCCCATTCCACGATACTCGTTGCATCTGGTTACTTTGCTGTCGTTATTGAGAGTTAGAAATCACCAGCATGGAGGTTTATTTCGGACGCCATCTGTGGTCCTGCATTCACTACAGCTAATGGGTGTTTAGCTGGAGCAGCGAAGAGGCTGTCGTGCCCTCTTTGACTCCGGTAGCAGTGTATTATCCATTAGTTTCGCCTGAGGAACTCAGTTCCTGTTGGTCGCTGGTATCCACATTACCGGACTGAATGGAAGCAGGTCGCGTTATCAACACAGATCACAGTGGCGGATTGTGCTAGAAAAACAAGAACATATTATTCCGGTAGATCGATGCTGCTTTAGGGGTTGCAGCAACTACAGTTCGAGAAATCTCTACGGTAATCGATCGAACTGCCGTTGCAGAAGTTCAATAAAAAAAGCGAAATCACCAAGGTGTCTGGTCTATGGACTCCACAGCAGCATTGGTTTCAGAGCGCGTACTAATGAATTGTCTGGTGTAAATCCGAATCTAGACCATAGAGACAATTTCGGGTGAAATTAGCCAATCGAGATGATGCTTGGAATGTTTGGATGCTGAGAAAACTCAGTGTCATCGAACCTGAAAACTGCACGAATTACGCGCTACCAACTAGATTCCAACTTCAATTGAATTGTAAGGATGCGGATGAAATGCTAGCTGTAATTGATTAGTGAACGACTGACAATAACGAACGAACGGTCGGCTGGTAACCAAAACAACCAGTGGTGTACCACTACAGATCCGGAGCGATGAACAGAACGCAAGATGTGCATCAACAGCGTTCCCTTTTTCGGTAGCAGTAAACATGCCGATTGGCGCCGCCTAGGGACTACTGCACGATCAAACAGTCATAGTGCACATCCATTGAAAATTGTCCGCGTGCCTAGATTATAAGCCAGGCCAAAAACTGCGGATGAATACGGGGGTACAGAGGTAGTAATAGCGGACGGTTTGAGCGAAGGTGACCGGCGCGGTATATGCAGACAGGAGGATAATCAGTCGTTGCCGAGGCAAACTGATCACGTTTGGGCAGGCCAAGGGGAGAAATCAAGATTGACATCGTATAGAGGGAAGTAAATTTTGTCCCGAACAACAGCGAGGCGGATTAATTAAATAAATAAATGGCTGGACACAGTGGAGAGTGGACCAATAGTGCGCGCAGCAGCGATCCCATATTAGCTACACAAGATGTGATGGCGACCAGCCAACCGAGCAAACGGTAGCGGCAGGTAAGTAATGAAGAGAAAAAGGATCAGGTGCCACTCCCGCCAATCGTGTTAGCCAGACAAACTAAGGAAAACTGACGCGTCAAAATATAACTCAAGGAGGACAAAGCAGTGGATCTAATTGTCACGAGTCGCATCCTAAAGATAATGATAAACAACGATGAAAAATAGAGAGTAGAGAGAAATGGGCTACTAAAGAGCAAAACTAATCGGGAAGAAATATTAACAGCTGGATACAAGAAACCGGGCGCAAGGACGCAAATGAATCCGCGGCCGCGTCGTGCCCGATAGCGTTTTCAAGCACTGAGGTGGCTCATGAGGAGGCACGTATCAGCCTGGTCCTCTAGTGGTTTGGCCCAACTGGGTGCAGCAGCAGCGAGTAATACACGCTGAAGGCGATAAATGGGCATAAGGGGCGCATGACCTAAACAACGTGAAGAGGTTCATGTGGCACTGGGTGGGTTCTTTACTTACACAAACTGGAGAATTCCGGTACCGTCGCAACCAGACTGGACCTTAACGTGGTGCGACGATTTGCGTACCTCCTTGACCCATCGAGCTATACTGGGTGACGCCTTCGGGCACCTTGAGAGCTACTCCTACCAGGTCGATCAATGGTGAGAAGTCAGACAAACTCAGTCTCCTGGTCCTCCAGGTTGGGTGTTTGAAATAGGATGGCGTCCATTTCTATAAAACTAAATCCTTGCCACCTCCCCGCTGCCTTGCGGACAGGCTTTTGAGCCCAAGGCTTTGGATGAGGGCCCTAAGCATCCACCTGTCTAAGTCTGGGCGTCCTGGCAGTATCTCAACCCACATACCACCATGACATCTTCTTCAAACATAAACTTCATCCTGCATCGTCCGTCGCGCAGATTATCAAGGGTCGCCTTATCTGTTGCGTACAGCAGGGCGGATAAGCGAAAACATGCTACTGCTGGCGCCTCCCTTCTTTCCTTTCCACCTTTTTCTCTTACTCCCATCCCGACCCCCAGTACTAACATTCCTTCTATAATTCCCAGTTTAATTGACAGCAACCGAAGTGCCACTGGAGTAGAACCATCTGCAGCCACCATCCCACAGTACCTATCGGCAAAACTCCCTTATAAGACCACGCTATCCCGTTTCCATGGCGACAATCAATGTTCGCACTCTCAGATAAACAGGTCAACACGCTGCACTCGCCCGCATCTTGGACACACTGGGTATTGATGTATGTTGTGTGTCCGAAACTAGGATCAAAGATCCTAACGGGGTTATTGAATTAACTGCACCCGGCTTGTCCTCTCGTTATTGGTTGCACGCATCCGGAGACGCTGATGCAGCACTCACGGGTCAAGCTGGTGTAGGTATCATTCTAAGCTCCAAGACTGAGCCATCGTTGGTTGATTGGATTCCGGTGAACAGCCGTTTATGTGCAGCCCGTTTGACGATATCAGCTAAGGTGGATTCACGAAGTAATACAAAACGATGTTTGCTTATGATTTCCGTTTATGCTTCCACCGACTGCAGTTCAAATGCTGACAAGGACAAATTCTATCACGAAATGAACGCGCTACTAGTTAAGATGTTATAGTAGTTGCAGGGGATATGAACACACAAGTAGGGTGTCTGAGCTCTTCAGAAGCTCAGCTGGGTGGTAATTGTGGGCTTAATTCCGAACGAACTGACAACGGCGAGCGTCTGCTGCAACTGTGTGCAGAGCACCAGTTGTTTCTTAGTAGCACTGTTTTCAGACACAGTGGGCGCCGAAGTGCCACTTGGCGTCCTCCTGTAGCTGGCCAGCAATGGACCCAAATTGACCACATAGCTATAAGTTACAGATGGCGTGGTTCCATGCTGGATTGCCGTTCGTACTGGAGTACCTACGTCGACTCTGATCATGCCTTGGTATGCTGTCGTTTCTTCAGGAAGCGCACCAAGCGTCTCCTCTGATTGGCAACTGAGGAATTGTCTCAGCCCTCGGTCAGGCAAACCTATTAGGACGCACTGCATACTGAAATTTCGCTGTCTTGTCCTAATGACACAGAACTTCAGTGGAATAGGATCTCGGCCGCCATGCACGATGCAGGAGCATCTGCTTGTGGCACTCAGTCGTCATCGCAGCAGTCACTGGATATTCGAGAAGTCGGTGAACCTGTTGGAATCTAGAAGAAATCTCCCGACTGGCTCTGAACACAATGTGACCATAGGGGCTATTAGGTGTGAACTAAAGCGGAGCCTACGTGCTGACAAGGAAGCCTGGTGGACCAGTAGGGCTCAAGAAATGGTGGAGGCACGGAGCAGTAGGCAATTACCGCAAGCTCTTCCAGCTAATCCACATCACTGGTCCCAGAAAACCAGGCGTCAGTGAGACAATCAGAGACAGCGCGGGTGCGCTGATACACAATAAGGAGCGCTGTATGGCTCGTTGGGCGGAACACATTTCAATATCAGTTCAGCTGACACCCTGCTCCCGGACCTCTTCCTACTCAGGTGATGTAGGACGAGCCAGGGACGATTAGTTTAGAGCCTCCGTCGGAGGCCGAGGCCCGAAACGCGATCACAGCCCTAAATCGTTTTTGTGCCGCTGGCCCGGATTCCCCCCCACCTGCACTAGTTAAGGATGGAGGTGAGGTCCTCTGCAAAGCACTGACCTCCCTATTCGAATGTATCTGGAAAGAACAGTGTCCTGGTTGAGTGGAATGAATCGATTATAGAGGCAATATACAAGAAGAGCAGTTGCACAGACTGTTCTAACCAAAGGGGTATTAATCTAACGCCAGTTGTGACAGAATCACTGGCCTCGATTCTCGTTCGTCGCCTCACTGCGGAACGGGAATCTCGGATTAAGGAAGAGCAGGCCTATTTTCACCCAGGACGTAGCTGTAAAGACCATATATTCACTTTGCGGCAGGTGCTAGAGCAGGGCCACGCATACTGCAGACCGACGGAAATTGACTTGGCAGCGAGAAATGAAGTCACTGACGACTAAACTGGGTCCCGTTGGTCCGTCTCACCTTCCGGGATGGAGTCCACGTGACTCGCCTTGTGCTTGGCTCGAGACTTTACAGGACATGGCTCGCAACCGACACCAGTGGCGCGTCTGCTGCCGTCTCCTAATCGGATTGCCTGTTTAAAGTGTGTTTGGTACTGAGTTATCTGCGGGTAATGGCTGATTATGACGCGTGGCAGTGAAAGTCGCAAGGAAGCTGTCCCGCCGATGCCGCCTTATCTTTGCACGATAGCCAGCCGTTTGTGACGGTATGTTGTTAACACAAGGTGTAGGCGCCTTGACCCTGAATGGTTGCTTAGGGCATTAAGGTTTTCAGATAAGCCCCCCTTCTCTCCCACTTCCTATTTTTTATTTCATAGGTCCGCATGGTTGTATGGCAGCGAGGCATCAGTTCAAATGGCTGATATACTGCTGTTGATGATTTCCGGTACTGCTCACACGGCAATCCTACCAGATATGAGGAATACTCAGCAAGCAACACTGAACAAATATGACCGGCTGTTCAACAAGTAGTGGACATGTTTCTGATCCACACCGACCTGACGGACAGTTTGATATTCCGTTGCTTGCATAGATGATTTAGATTTTGGAAAACTACGTGGGTTTATTGCTACGTCAACTAATGAAGTGGAGTAAAAAGACGGTGAAGCTCTTACCGAAGACGCGTTGAAGCTGGGGTTGAGCTGATGGATGAGGGCTGTAGGCTGTTGGGCACCAGTCTGTCGGAGAGCAGACATCAACAACTGCTGCTGTTGTGCCGCGGCCAAAGCTGCAGCCAAAGAGGCGTGTGGAGACAGAGCAGATGTTGACGTCGGCAAAGAGATTGCAGATACAGTTGGATTGGAGGCACGATTTCGTACGAGATTGGCGGGCCAGGTAATCGTGGGGTTGTTGAGCGTACCAACAGAAGCAACCATGGAGACAGGGTTAGTCATTGTTCCGCTTGGGTCGCCAGCACCAGATATAGCAGCAGCGAATCTTTCGTCGAACGCCCCATTTTGCAAAGTGTCCAAATTCTGTCTGTGCAACTGCGCCTGAAGCTTTTGTTGTTGCAGATAAGCGGCCAGAACGGGGAGCGAGATCTGGTTTGACGAATTACCAACAGGTAGTTTCTGCTGTGGAAAAAAGTGATAACGAGCATAATTGCAGTAAAACGAGGCAAGATTAGCAAGTAACAAAAATAACGAAAAACGAAATAACCAATAATATAAAAAAGCACAATAAGGTAAGGTAGTGAAATACCTGTGATTGCTGATTTGCCAAGTGCTGTAACAGCTGGGCAGCAATATTGTTTTGGGACTGGGCAGTTAGGGAGTTGCCGCCTGACTGCGTGGCTGTGGCGGATAGCAGCTGTTGTAGCTGGGCGTGTTGAAGTTGTTGTTGTTGTTGCTGCTGCAAAGACGCAGACAAATACGCCGGCAATGAAGTGGCATCCACAGTGGACGTCTTCGGTGCAGCCGAAGCTGAGGGCAGTCCAGTTGTTAGTCCCAAGAGATGTGCCATTTGTGCATTGAAAATATCGATCTGAAGGGAAAAATGGAAGGTTGATGTAGAAAATGAAGATAAAAAGACGGTGACGGAGAACAAAGGTGCGTTCACCGACTAGCGTGTCAAGCTTTTTAGAATCCCAACCGAAGGGTAAGGGTAAGTTACAAAAAAGATGTGTAAATTAAGTGGTTCAGCGCAGTTTAGGTTGTCAACTATACTCCTTAATAATGATAATAATAATTCAACATGAGAAAATTAAAATCGTCAGACATAGTCAAGGATTGGAAATAAAGGGGCAACGTCAATAATGCCTAAAGTAAATCGAATAAATTGATAAAAGAGCATTGTTTCTTAGCAGGTTGACGATGAACATGGTCGCTTGCCTCTAGGTTGGTCAGTAATCAGATATGGAGCTAGGTCAGGCTCACGCATAGGGGTAGGCTAGTAAACGTGTACGATGTGTTCAAAGCTGCCCAACATGTGGCTGTTTGCAGTTGTAACACATGGATTGTTAGAGTGCGGGACAAGATGACTTATAAAGCCCATTGCTATGGAGTGGCCAGAAGGATATAGAAGGATTGGGTACAGCTACGCGAGTTGGTAATGACGTATCCCTGGTTTCCGATGACTGTCACAGCCCATCAAAAAACATCGAGGCTTATGTGGACTGAGACTTTGTGGGGAAACTGCGCACCATCAAGGTGTGTGTGAGCGCCCGCGCGAGTTTTAGTCGTGGGTGACGACATCAGAATTGGATGCACCTGCTGATGGTGGCTGCCCATTCGTAGACAGCAATGTGATTAGTTGTCTCAGAAAACCGCTTGCGGTTTAAGAAAAGCCAGTTAGGAAGAGTTTCTCCAGCAAGAGACACTGTAAGATCGCCAAAGCGTTACTGTGGATGATCCTGATCGGGGAAAGGGACAGTATAGGGACTCGGGTATCAGCAGTACGTCGGCAGTGCGTACCGATGCTTCTCTGCCGCGCAACCACCACCAGTTGCACGTGGGACAAGGGGACTGTGAGAGTTGCCCGGTCCCTACGAAGGCTGGAACCCGCGCCTTCGGATTACAAGGCAGGCTTGTGAGTCTTAAAGGTACGGGCCGGTTTTAGGAAGTCGACTACACTCGCTAACATGTCGCTCAATGACATTTAATCCGAATGAGATTTGGAGGACCAACTTCGACACAATTCCTAACCACTAACCATCAACTGAAGCCAAAGCCGAAGTTGTCGACAGTGGGTAGGTGGTGCGCACTCCACGACACGCGAGAATGTTTTTCGCGGATGCGACAACGAACGCCACTGATGTCTCCTCGAAGTAAGAAGGTGGCTCTCGTTAATGCTGCTCGCTATTCTCGCTTAGGCGACTGGCGATACCAGAACTTTCAACAATGCGGCGGCTTCCTCAACAATCCACAAAGCTATACACCATGACTGGGAGTTAGAAACGATGGCCTAAACTGAGGTTCATTTAGTACTTGCTTACGATGTGTAGAAAATGCATGGAATGAAGCAAAAGAAAGGCGCGTATTACATCTGACCGTAACGAGCCGGGAGGGTTCAGAGAGACAGAAGGATGATACCAGTAAATCCGAAGCGTGACTCACCAAGAGCTCGTATGCAACTCTTACCCCTCCAAATAAATTCTAGTTTTTACCTTTGCACATAACTCTTTACACTGGATGGCCAACGACATTCATGGTGGAATAAAGAGTGTTAGACAAAGTGTTTCGGTCATGATAAGCACCGAGTTACCTCGAACTAGTCGCAAGTTCCAGTCCCCACTAAAGGTCCACATAGTTTCACAGTGAATGAGTGAAAATCGCATAAGAACAAAGGTCAATCACCGCACGTGTGACGAGTAAATGGGGGCGAAAAACAACGACGTTGTACCACACTGACTCGTAGCGGCCACGACTCAGCGGAGGGTTGAAATAGGACCAACAAAGATGCGCTTTGAGGATTTAATTGACTACCCGGTAGAAAGGATAAACAACGCTGGAGGAATAAGCTCAAGACAACCAGACCAAGTGGTTGCATGATAAAACACTGATAAAAAGGTGAACAATGAGCAGTAACTCGAAACACTGGTAACTCGAGTTGATTGCTAAGGTGTTTGTGCCCGCCGAGCTTGGCAATGAGGTTGCATTGTTGAACGTGGTGATATCACCGGTGCGCAACAGAGCAAAGCAATTAGGTAGGCTGTCGAGGTCTTCAGCCGCTGAATAGGAGTCGAACCCAGGGAGAGAGAAAGAGAGTCATCAGTGGTACGCCGGTATGAAGTACCGATGCTTCGCTGCCGCGCAACCACCACCAGTCATACGGGGCAAAGGGTAGTGCGAGGGTTGCTTGGTCGCTACGCAGGCTCGAACCCGCGCCGTCGGATTATAAGGCAAGCCTGTGATTTTTAAGGCTATGGTCCGAGATCCCAACGTAGAACCCTAAAATTTTCGAGAGCGCACTGATAAAGAGGACGAAACGGACGTCTAGCGCCTTCCCGGGAGACAACAGCTATATGACAGCTCGTTTGTGAAGGAACCACAGGAGAAAAGTGTAGTAACTCGTGGCGAGGTTGTCAGAGAGTAAATCCTACCTGTGATCCTCCGAACGGAGTAGCCAGAGACTTCAAGCGGGCATCCTCTGAGTTCTCTTGGGTCGGATGAACTAACCAGCCATCGGGGTGCGCGCCAGAAGCTGAGGCATTTAGGTGGGACAGCAACGCCAAGTTGGTGGAATAGGCCGGGTGCACAAGTCCAGTAGACCCCAAGAATGGGTCACGTTGAAGATGGTGCAATATTGCCAATTGTTGAGGATATGTGCCTGGCTGCACAGAGGTCAGCTGGGTCACTGGAGACTCCGTAGAACCACTGCCAACAAGCATGGTATGGCGCCGTAAAGCGTGTTGTTTGGCCTGTTCCTGAAGAGCTGCGTTAGTAGAAAAAAATCACGATTCGGCTGAGTGGTGCGGTGGCGCCAACTACGACAAGATGAGAGAAAAACTGCTAGCAAAAATCAATGAAACCATATCAGTCGGAGATCCGATGCTTCGAAATATTGACTAGAATGGACACCCTCAAATGAATTTGCCGTAGGCGTTGGATGCAGAATCGAAAAACCGCCGAAGTCGTACGGACGACGATGAAGGCAACGCATCGAATGCGGACAGAAACAGAACCAATGTCAACAGATCAACAACTAATGACGATATAAAACGACAACGAAGAGTGCGAAATCTAAACGTAACTCAACGGCATCGCGAACATAAAAAACTCAGATCGTAGTTCAATAACCTTGGGAGTAAAAGGGACATGCGTCGAAGATGCCACCTTCAGAAGATACAAATGGCAAAAAGGATAACAATACTATACCTTAATCTACATCTTTTGCTGTACCTTTGGCGGAACAGAGATAAGTCTATCTAGAAGGATTGCAAGGCATAACTCGCGTAACATGATTGGGGAAGAGCACAAACTACCCACAGATAGAGACCCTACCTGCTTCAGTCTACCGAAGCCTAGACAGCTGATATCTAATTTGGGCAAACAGTCAGATATAGTGACCAGCGCGTTTTTGCCCTGATGGGAATGATGATCGTTTTCTTCTAATCAGAGTGCATGTGAACTCAGTGGCCATTGACCCTCGTGCCCTACACCAATGACATTGAACGTTGACTGCCATTACACACATTGTAGGTAAACAGAGTATGCCAAATATCTGAATTTGGCTTAAGTGGTAGAAATCTTTTTTAGTATTTCGAAATTTGTGAAGGGAAAAGCTAGCAAATGAACCTACGACGGACAGGATATCAACCTTTGCCTACAAAATGGATAGACTGTGGATAGTCGAAGTTCTGAATGCCACTCACGTAGGCTGAGCGGTGCATCCAAAATTGTGCACCCATTAATTCCAGTAAAACGGGGAATAGATGTCTAGTTTTTGGGTGTCCCGGAAGCATCATAGCCGACATGCAACTAGAAATATCACACGATTGAAAATAAAGCGAAGCAGCAGGACGCTGTCCTGCCAAAGATGCGGTATGGCAGCCAGCTGTTTCCGATTGTTCAATGTTGAGGAGTTAGTTCTTTGATTGTGAGTGCTATCTTGACGTATTTAGACTCTAAATCAGCGCATTGCAGTTAAACAACTATGATCCAGGCACCAAAGTGCGGTGGATCCAGTTGCGCCGACTCACATCACCAGAATAACAATAAATAACAAAGGCAAGAAAACGAGATTGAATGTAAAGAAAATGAAATCAAGAAGGAAGTGTGTTATATAAATAACAAGGGAACGAAAATTAACAAGCAGATACAAGAGACCGAATGAAGGAACGCCACTGACTGCACCATACCTGAGACGGTTTTTAACCACTGACGTGGACTATCCCGCGGCCTCCACTCTTGAAGACGGCATGCACCAGCCTGACACCAAGTCACTCGTTTGATTCTTTCATGTTTTTATGCCGTTAGAGACAAACAACCTCGCAGTTCCGTCCAACTTGGTGCAGCTACGGCGTAAAATGCACGCTGAAGAAGTCGGTCAACATGCCCAAAGTCAAGCCATTCTACATGCCTCTCACACCCATCATCATCAGGGCGTTTGTGCTCGTGACAGTGGAGCACTGGCAAGTGTAATGCCGGGGTGTTAGTGACATCGATGTGCAGATAATACAGACTGATAAAAGCCCCAAGCATACGATGGTATCACCAAATTAACAACGGACGTAGGCTGTTACTTTGTTGCAGTGGTGCATCATCACACAATCGCATATCAAAAGACAACCCTAGTGAGAAAGGAAGGACAATAAACGAAGCAAACCAAACGAGGTACCAATCGCAAACCGTATTAGCAAAGGATGATCTCAGTGCGACTGGTAGTTGTACGATATAAACGACACGCTTTTTGAGGACAGTAGATATCGATCGAATAGAGTTGCAAAACACTAAGTCCAGATTTGAGTCAATAAGTGCAGACCGGGTGAACAGTGTGCATACACATAAGTAACAGGAACATGTGTGCAGAAAAGTTGTAGAATGGAACAGGAGAAAGTGGCCGAAAAGTAATAGGAGATGTACCGTCTTGCGGAATAGGGCACCGATCACAATCCAGGCGCGTAGGAATGCGACGATATACCGCCTTACACTTGTAGGTTACCTTGACCTCGGCGCAACTATGCTCATGACCTAACCGGGAAAATTGGATGGGGACAAAAAATACGTGCTCATTGCATTGGGCGGACAGCTCTTGAAGTGAGAATCAGCGACTCACATCGAACCTCAGGAATAATACCTCGGCCGGTGGCCGAGTGGTCTGCACGTTTGCTTTGCAACCATAAGGTCACCGGTTCGAATCCGCGTGGGGGTGGGCGTCCTCGCGGTACACTCAGCCCGCGCGCGACTGGTGGTGGTCGCGCGGCAGCGAAGCGCCGTTACGGCGTATAAGCTGACACATTTCATTTTCATGAAAAAGGTAACGGAATGTCGACATTAAGCTGAAGTTTTACATGAAAGAATCCCTTGTTTGATCGATAAGACGCAGGCGTTAGCCAGAGACAAATCACCCATACGGAGGTCGGCCCATCAACCCACGCGAACTGCAGATTTAAGGTCAACATTTAGCAACTCATCACGTATGCGTGTTGAATATTCAGAGAAGCTACAACACAACCAAATTTTTAAATGTGAGTGTCTATTTTGCATTCCCTCATTAAACCACATGGTTGGTGGCATCCGGTTTCGGATTTGCCTGTCACTGTGGTCAGCCACAGGACGCCTGCGCCTACAGATGGACCATGGGTGGCTTGCGCTGCACCACCCACACCCCCCATATCCAGTGTAAACCCGAAGGAATATGACCGGGAGACATGTGAGCGACGTTTCATCAAAGGAGCCGGCCCATGATCCTTCACAGGCAAACAAGCACGCTGTATTTGGGAATCAAGCGTACACAAGACGGTGGCTGGACCGTAGTCCGCTCCACACTGACTGCATGAAAATAAGCGCAATTAGCGTAAGCAACGAGTGTAAGTTGATAGAACAGTATTCAGGTAGGTTGAACAAACCAAATAAGGTGGAATGAAATTTACCCAGCTTAAAAAGACCTGGATTAAGGGTATGTTAATCTAGCCCAAATGCGGTGAAGGAGTACCATGAATGCAACATCAGCCTCAGCATGGGGCACCGTCAAACCGCATGATGTGATGGGAACATGCATAAAGACAATCACATGTGTATCACACAACCAAGAGCAGGATAACATCGGATAACGGTTCATTATAGGTTTGAGGAATATACCCGTTATTCTTATTCTAATGTACACAACCAAGAGTTTGCGTGCAAGTCCACGTACCGCGATACTGTTCGACCTTTTCTGGGGGTATCAAGAACTCCAGGGAATTTGATTGCTGTGTATTGGAGGACAAGTGATCTGTACTCATCTGGGTGGTGCCCTCAACTGAAGATCCTTGTGGATTGGAGGATGTCCCATCAGATGAAACTTCACAGGAACCCGATTGATTATTTCCCACAGATAGCCCAAAGCGTTTAGCGAGATCGGGAGGCAACTGTGGGGTAGAGAAAGTTACCGAGGGGAGAAGTTGGCAACACATGCAAGCGCTATTAAGCGAGGGGTATCCGTTGGGAACAGCGTGTACGATACATGAACGTTGCAATAATAGTAGCATAGTAAAAAATATTGAAGTTAAAAACATAGTGCGTTACCTGGGGTCCGATGTAAGGAGTGGGTTCGCTTCGAACAGGGAGCTCGTCCAAACCGTGGATGTAGTCTTCGTGGTGTCTGGAATCCTTTGGTAGCGGTATATCCACCAAAACTGAAGCGGATGATGAGTTTACGCCGTCGGTAGACGTACTGGTTTTCAATGAGATACATGGGAAGCCGGGGTTATCCGAATGTTTGGTAGATTCTGCGAAAATAGGAGGGAAAGGATGAGAAACGGGAAGTGAAGATTACATGTACAGAATGAAAATGCTCTTCGGGAAGAAGGTAGAGAAAACAGGAACAAAGGAAAGTACAGTTTGGTTCAGTTGAACAACTATGATTCGAGCATGGAAGTGCTGTGGGTCCAGTTGCCACGACTCACATCGCAAGGATAACAATTAATAACAACAGCAAGATAGTAAAGTTAAAGAAAAATAGAATGTAAAAATTGTAAGCAGGAATGAAGTGCGTTAAGCCAATTTGAATGGAAGGAAAATTAACAGCCAGATGCAAGAAACCGAATGCAAGAACGTCACTGACTGCGCGACTGCGTCTGTCTGATACGGTCTCCAACCACTGGTGTGGACCATCTCGAGGCCCCCAGCAGCCGGACCAAGTCTCTCAGTCAATTTCTTCATGTCATCGACTGGCCACTTTGCGATTTCGCCTGGCTTGGTGTAACCGCGGCGTTTAATGCACGCCGAGGAAGCCGGTCGACAGACATACGGAGAACACAGCCTAGCCAATGTAAGCGGTTAGGATACAGCAAACACTCCAGCGAGACACCAGGTTTCTTGCCAAAAACCAACTGGCGGACCTTAGCGTTGCTCACCCGGTGTTCCCATCAGAAGAGCAATACTTGGTAAGCATCGGTGATCAAACACGGCCAAGTGGGTAATGTCTTCGCCGCGAACTGACCAGATCTCTGATCCATACAGTAACATCAATCTCACCGCAGTGTTATACATCCACTGATGAACTGCATCTGGGCGGCCAATACGGTGTAGGCCCCAGTAATGATAATGGTGAGCGGTTACTTCATTTGAGTGAAGATGCCCACTTATTTCTTGCGAGCAGTAACTTCGGATACAGCGCACGCCGGTGGGTGACATGGCACCCACCAGCCCCAGACCAGCCTTGGGAGCAAATCGATCACGCTGCAGTCAGTTACCGCTGGAGAGGCTGCGTCTAGAACTGTCCCTTGATTTGGAAACCATGTGCGGACAATAAACATACACTTGTATGTGCTGACATGCGGATACGTTATGGCGGACGCCCACGACGACCCAGTGAACGCATTGATACCAACGAATTGGCGAAGCTACCTGTTCTGCATGCGTATTGAAGTACGCTGGCGTTTGGGTTGAGCGAGCGCACACCGAATGCAGTTGAAGGTCACTGGTCACATGTTCACCAGACCTTACTAGCAGCAGGCAAATCCTCATGTGGTAAGTCTAATAGACAACATGGACATGGGGTCTCTACACAGTCTCTGGAAGTTATCGATGCTCACCGGTACATTTCGGCTGGAAGCGAACACGAGACTAGGAAAAAGCTTTAGACAAAACTCCGTGCTATCCTGAAGACAGACCGCCAATCTTGACGGTCTCTTCGTGCGTCAGAGATGGAAGTGGTCGCTGCTCTTGGTAACCATTGGAAGCTATTCCGTCTGATACGGGAAAAGGGCAGCAGGAGACCTGGTGTCAGTGAAACTATACGTGACGAGTGGACAGCCTATCCACAACTTGTCAAAAAGCTTGAAGCGTTGGGCAGGTAATTTAATCGGTCGAAATTATCATTTTCTCGCCGGCCACTGATCGCACTGCTACCTGGGCTGTCCCTTTGGATCCGCCCTCTCGCACAGAATTCAAAGGTGATATCGGATTGCTGAAGTTGAGTAAAGCTGCGGGAACGGATGATTTTCATCCAAACCTCTTCAAATTCGGGAGACCCACACTTGTGTATGATTTACACGAGTTACCAGTGAAACTATGGGAGCAGGAAACTGTCCCGAAAGACTGGAGCTATGCCGTTATTGACTCAGTTTTCAAGTGAGGCTCACGATCGGAATGCGGCAGCCATAGAGGAACCAGTCTGAGCTCTATCGGCTCCAAACTGCTTGCTTGTCTTCATTCACAGGCTGAAAGCCATATTCGTGAAGAGAAAGCCGGGTTTCGTCGAAATCGAGGCTGCAGCAATTACACCTTCACTTTGCGTCAATTGTTGGAGCACCGTCAATTATTAGCGGCCCACCGTTGTCGTGTTCCTCGACATTAAAGGCACCTTCCATCTGGTTGATCAGTGCGTGCTTTGGGACTATTTACGGCCGAATGGTGTGCCCGAGAAATATGTAAATATTATCCGAGCAGAATGAGGGCTTACGGCAAGCTGTCGCCACCTTACAATATCTCCAGTGGTGTGAGATATGGATACCTGCTGTCATCTTTCCTCTTCAACTTCGCCATTGACGAAGTCATGGAGATCGCGTTCACAGGATATGACTTAGGTGTGAAGCTGCTCCCAGGCGAACGACTTCTTGACTTGGAATATGCTGACGATATTGTCTTAATCAGTGACAGCTCGCGAACGTGCAAAACGTCACTGGACAGATTTTAGCACTGGCAGTCACCCGTTTCGGACTATGTTTTGCACCAACGAAGTGCAAAGCGTTCCTCCAGGATTGGCAGAGACAGCCGCCTGCGCTGACCTTAGGTGGGAATCAGCTGGAAGTCGTGCAAAAATTCAACTAGCTGGGAACTTGTGTTAGCGCTCTTGGGATGGTAGATGGGATCACGAACCGTATAGCAAAAGCTCGAGGTGTTTTTGCTGACCTTTAGCACCTATGGCCCCGGCGCGACATCACTTTCTCTCTGAAGGGTAGTGTACAAAGCTACCGTCCGTTCAACTTTCCTTTATGGCTGTGAAACAGCCCATTAGATCAGCAGACATAAGGAGGCTAGTTACATTCGACCGGTGCGTTCACAGTTTGGCTCATCACCAACATGATTATACATGTTAGCTAGAGGTGGGAAACACCTCAGCTACTGTGCCGCAATACGTAAAAGAAAAAAAGGAAAAATGCAACAGATGCAAGCCAGCTGCTACCGGTGACGGATGGGCACTGTTCCGGTAAGCAACCACCCGGCTACTTTGCAGCAAAAAATTACTACGTAAAATTATATAAGGTTAGATATTGAGGCCGTGGTTGGAGGGGAGGTTAAGGGGATGGGGTGGGACAAAGAAGCTCACAGCACAAACGCCACTGAGGTCGGCTCCTAGCCATATCAGCAATTGTATCCAGCCAAACGTGTTCCATCGCCTTTCGGACCCCAACCAGGGAGCCGAGACGCTCCGATCGAGGCCAAGGTCGAAGTAAGGAACTTCATTTCTCTCGACCAAGTCATCGCATGGTCACACCTCCGGCGCGCAAACAACGCATGTCGCGGGAGCCGGTGAGCTGGCATGCGTAACAAGTGACCGAGCAATCGGAGCATGGTGCGTAAAATAACGGTGCGGAGCGTTTCATTTCCTTTTCCTGTGCCGTAACCAAGGCGTCAAATACACTCGTTGCTTACTCCGTGCTCTAACCAGATGTGAGCTAAATTGCAAAGGCACCGGTGGTCGAACGTAACTAGCCAATTTATGTCCGTTGATCTAAGGGGCCAGGTTTCACAACCGTACAGTAGGGTCGAACGTACCGCTGCATTGTAGTACACTCTACCCTTCAGGGCGAGAGTGATGTAGCGCAGGGGTCATAAGTGCTAAAGGTTAGCAAAAACGCCTCGAGCTTTTGCTATACGATTCGTGATCCCATCTACAATCCCACGGGCGTTGATACAACTTTCAAGGCATTAGAACTTTTGAACGATTTCTGGCTGATCCCCACCAAGGGTCAACGAAAGAGGCGGTCCAGGCCAATCTTGGAGGAACGCTTTGCACTTCGAGGGGGCAGAGCAAGGCGCGAAGCGGCTGACAGCCAGTTGTAATCTGTCCAGCGCGGCTTGGCACGTCTGGGAGCTGTCACAGATGAGGGCAATGTCGTCTGCATACTCCAAGTCAAGAAGTCGTTCTCCTGGGAGTAGCTCCACACCTAAGTTGTGTCCTGTAAATGCAATCTCCATAACTTCGTCAATAGCGAAGTTGAAGAGGAAAGGTGACAACAGGCATCTTTGCCACACACCGCTGGAGATATTGAAGGGTGGCGACAGCTTGCCGTAAGCCCTCACTCTGTCCGAGCTACGCACGTATAATGCTTGGATAATATTTACATATTTCTCGGGCACACCTTTCCTGAGTAGACAATTGCAAAGGGGACATCGATCAACCGAATGGAAGGTACCTTTGATGTCGAGGAACACCACTACGGTGGGTCGCCAATGTGTGTGACGGTGCTCTAAAAACTGACGCAAGGTGAAGATGTGGTCAATGCAGCCACGACCTCGACGAAACCCGGCTTTTCTTTAGGAATAAAGCTTTCACGAGCGCCAGCCAGTCTGTGAAGGATTATGGAGGCGAGTAATTTGTAGGCAATGGAGATGAGACTGATTCCCGTAAAGTTGCCGCATTCCGAACGCGAGCCTCCTTTGAAAATGCGAACAATAACGGAGCAGCTACAGTCGGTTGGGACAGTCTCCTGCTCCTACAGTTTCACTAGTAATTCGTGTAAATCATCAACAAGAGCAGAGCCCCCGAATTTGAAGAGGGCTGGATGAAAATCATCCGGTCCCGCGGCTTTGTTCAACTTCAACAGTCCGATCTCACGTTTGACTTCTGAGCGAGACGGTGGATCCAACGCGACAGCCCACGGAGCAGGGCGACCACTGGCCGGCGAAGAATCGGACAATTCTAGCCGATTAAACTGCTTTTCAAAATGTTCAGGCCAACGCTCCAAACGCTTTGACAAATTGTGGATAGGCTGTCCACTCTCATCACGTATAGTTTCGGACACCAAATCTCCTGCTGCCCGTTTCTCGTATCAGACGGAATAGCTTCCAATGGTTACTAAGGGCAGCGACCACTTCTATCTCTGACGCACGAAGAGACCACCAAAATTCGCGGTCTCTCTTCAGGCTAGCACGGAGTCTTGTCCGGAGCTCTTTGCGAGTTTCATTGTGTTCGCTTCCAGCCGGGATATGCCGGTGAGCATCGATAAGTTCCAGAGACCGCGAAGAGACCCAATATAAATGTTGGCTATTAGACTTGCCA